CTTCATGTCGCCCCATTGTTCAATGGTGCCGATGATTTGGGAGAACCTCCTCGGCATCGCGGCGAACCGCCGCTGCAAGACCTGCCGCTCCGGCAACTTCTCACCCAGCGCTCGAATTTCACCGACAAGCGCGATAAGGCGACGGGAGAACGCAGTCACGGTCTCACCATCTTGTATCACGAGCCGGTCGAAACGACGCAGAAGGGACTGAATCCTCGCCTGGACCACGCGGTCTTCGCCCAGCCGCATCGTCCAGATCGCGGCCCAAGCTTCCTTCGCCGTGGAGTACTCCACAATGGCCATCATGACATCGTCTGGAACCGATTGTGAGAGATGGCCGCCCACGCGCCTGAGTCTGCGTCCTCGTCAAACTCGCCGTCACCATCGACCGTTGACCACACGCCAAATGGACGCATGATGATCTTCATCTTTGCCGCCCACAGCTGGTAATTTGACTCTATCAACTGCGGATACTGGATCGGGACTCCATGGACCTGCCTCCCGCTGCTCGAGCCCTCACCACCATCGCCGATTGGCTTCGGCGGAGGCTGGTACTTCTGGGACGAGTCGGTCTTCTTCGGAGATGTTGACATTACCTCCTGTCACCGCCGCCAGCGCCTCCTGTCACCGCCGCGAGCTGATCGAACCGTCAAGCTCTGATGCCAAATGTTGGCGTCGGACCTAATGAAACGCACACGATCACAGTGGAACACATAACAATTTCTCTCCCTCGCACTCCAGACGAACTGCAGTTTCAGACGAACACGAGAGAGTTCTTGTGACGCCCCTTAATCCGCGCCTTTTCTGGCTTCTTTCCTTTTATTCTATCGCTCCAGATCCCAACAATCTGGACGCACAAAGACCACCATGATCCACACAAAGTGTGCGCCATCCCGCATGCAGTGGATCATGGCGATGCGATAAGAACGCAAAGCTAACTAAGACTCAGCCGCAACGTGGACTTGCACGCTTCTGGCCAACACAACGTGCTAGTGCAGCTCCTATGGCACATGCACAACTCTAAACGTGATTATAACCTTCACGTGTACAGAATCAAGTGAAAGAAAAACAACAAGGAAAAAAACTACATTATTCAGATGCAACAAGATTAACTTCAACATGTTGTAGCATTGTTTTTTTGAACTATCAGTGAGCCCATAATGGTTTAAAACATCTTGTATATGAAGTAAGAGCAGGAAGATGCGTAGCCTTGTTACCATGTTGACAACAATATTTTTCTTGTCTTGAAACAGTATCATCCCTTCAAGCCTGGAATTTAGCTTCCTATATTTCATAAACATAATCATCGCATTGTTTTCTACTGCCTACCTTCGAGCTGTAAAACCCAAGCTATCTAGGAGATGTCAATACTTGTTTTTCCTTCCCAAATGTTGCTTCGCGAGTTGTACATGTTTTCTGGAACACTAGAGGATCATAACTTTCATGTGGATATGCTTGAGGTTATGCATGCTTTGTGATTCAGATATATAACGGTCAAAATTTTCCTTTTGTATGACAATTGGCAAGTTTCTAGTCCAAGCTAATAGTGGGCAAATTGTGTTTGGGTGGCGTCTTCATTATATATCGGAGTTATGCTGTAACTGGAATGCATATTATAAATTGGAATCATGTTCGTCTGGGATATGATGCCATTTAACCTGTACTGTTGTAGCATTTTCGGAATAAAAAAAGTAAACAGTATGGTCGTAGTAGATTCATTATTCGATTTCCGACCACGCGGTTTTAGTATAGTTGTACTCGCCAATTATCTTAGTTCACATAAATTTTGATGCATAAAGTGGCAGAAAAATATTCTGATACTAAATTACCTTCATCCTGATATTTCCTCTGTTTTCTTTGGAACAGAAATGCCATGTGAAGGGGGATATCATCAGGCTTTTGGATGGCCAGCGACCAGGAAGAACAGGGAGCTGCATTTCCTTAATTGGTGGCAATTCTAACGATCTTTGTTATAACTTGTAGCAGATTAATTAGATGCTATGTAACTGGAGCAGGTACTCCTATCGATCGTGTGTACCATGACTGTTTGTGACCAAGATTTTTGTTTCGTGCACGTGACTTCCTGCATGCATGTTTAGTTGCTATCCCTCTCGTATCCACTTGTGTCACAGTCTTGTGGTTGGTGTGCTTGATTGCTATCTATAGTGTTTGCAGCAACTCGGTAGTAAGTAAATTCAATAATTTGAAACACTTTTGCATCTCGTAGTTAGTTCCACACTTCGACTGAATTGAACAAACTACAAGTGGGATTCACTTTATTAGGATTTGATTCATTGCTTGATGTTTTTGATGCGAGGTAGCAAGAAGGAAAACAAACAGAGAAGCTAGTTCGATTCCTATGCAGAGTTGGTCGATTCCATGTTTATTCTAATGCAAAATTTCGTACTGGATTAGGAGGTGCTCTTTTGAATAAAGATTGAAAAAAAGGCACGCACCACACAGTGAGGTACGTGGGCCTGGCCCATCTGGCCCAAACTTGCGGCATTTTTTAGTTTGGGAGGAGAAGGATAAGCAGTAGGGGAGCTGGATGCTGGCACAAAGAAGGGACGTTGCACCGGAGCAGCATGGTGGATGGGCTCCTCGAGGGGGTCGTTCAGGCGGTAGAGGAAGAGGTAGAACAGGTCAGGCTAACAATACACGCCAGCGGTCTCCACCACGCAAGCGCTCATCCCAGGACGCAGGTTTTGATTCGGCTGCGGAAGAACCAGAAGTTACTAGCGCCCTTAAGGCTGGAGAGGCAAGGCAGGAAGTGCAAGCTGCTGAATCTGTTCGTCGTAACCTGAATTTTGTGTTGAAGGACAGCGGAGTTGATGTTGAAGGGCCGGAGAGGAGCAAGGCTCTAGTCACTATTGATGCGTCCACAGCGGCAGTCCCACCGCTGCCTCCAGCATATGTTTCTCCTAGGGATGCCGAGAAAGCAAAGAAGACAGGGTCACCAGTGAAGCAAGGAACTAACAAGATGGTGTTGTTGGCGGGCTCCTCCTCGGAGCTCCGCCAATCTCAATGAAACTCTTAAGCTGGAACTGTCGCGGGATAGGCGATCCTGCAACAGTTCGTGAACTCCGCGACCTGGTGGAGCTTAGTTCGCCGTCTATTCTTTGCTTAGTTGAAACTCAGTTACAAAATAATTGTGTGGAAGGTCTTCGTTTTTCTTTAGGTTTTGATTTCAGTTTTGCTGTTGGTAGTCGTGGTTGCAGTGGAGGTATCTGTATCTTCTGGAAAAACTCGGTGGATGTTGAAATAAAGAATTTTTCGGAGTATCATGTGGACGCATGGGTGCTTGAACCAGGAAGGGAACAATGGCGTCTTTCATGCTTTTACGGAGAAGCAACAAGATCTCTCCGGTACAAAACCTGGAACACAATGACAAGGTTGAGAGGAGAGAGCACGCTTCCATGGATGTGCATTGGGGACTTCAATGAAATTTTGCGGCCTAAGGAACAATTTGGCCCAAATGAGCGTGACAGTGCACAGATTGACGCTTTCAGAGAGGCTGTGGATATTTGTGGACTGACTGATTTGGGTTACCGTGGTTTGGATTGGACTTGGGAGAAGAAAGTGTCAGGAGGTTATTTTTGCAGGGTAAGGTTGGACAAAGCTCTGGGTACGGCTGATTGGTCGGTCCTCTTTCCGTTTACCTCGGTGGAACACCTAACAGCGGCTAAATCTGACCACTGCCCTATCTTATTACAAACGGATCTTGTGGACTCGACTGTGAGAGCAAAGCAGGAGCAGTTTCGGTATGAATGCATGTGGGAGCGTGATCCAAGTTTTGGGGATGTGGTAGCTGAAGCTTGGAACACTTCTGGAAAGGCCAATACTGTTGCGGCTCTGTTCGACAAACTTGCTTTTGTGGCCGGTACGCTGCGCAAGTGGGGCCGAACCACCTTTGGTGTTGTTAGAACCGAGCTGCGGTCGCTTCGAACGAAGCTTCAGAACTACGAGCTCTTCCCAACCGTGGGGGTCCATTGCCGGAAGAGGAACGTGTAGAAGCCCGCATGTCCGAGCTTTGTTTACGTGAGGAGATCATGTGGCGTCAACGGGCTCGCATTCAGTGGTTGGCGGAGGGAGACAACAATACCAAAATTTTCCATCGGAAGGCCAGCGCTCGCAAAGCAAGGAACTGTATCTGTGAATTGCAACGTGCAGACGGCACGGTCTGTGTGGATGATCAAGAGATGGCAAGCATGGCAACAAATTTCTACAGCAATCCGTATGCTTCCGAAAACACGATCGGCATTGATGAAGTACTATCCCATATACCACCTAGGGTGGATGCTGCCATGAATGACATGCTTAACGCTCGATATACCAACGCCGAGGTGAAAGCGGCTTTGTTCCAAATGTTTCCTACCAAGGCTCCAGGGCCCGATGGCTTTCCTGCACACTTCTTTCAGAGGCACTGGGAGTTGTGCGGCGATGAGGTGACTGATATGGTGCTACGTGTTCTAAAGGGAGAGGATTTCCCGGAGGAGATAAACAAAACGTTCATTGTTTTAATCCCCAAGATTGCAAGTCCAAAAAATTTAGGACAGTTTAGACCGATAAGCCTCTGCAATGTGATCTTCAAGATTGCGTCAAAGGTTCTAGCTAATCGGCTTAAGCTCATTCTCCCCGATATCATCTCTGAGGAACAATCAGCATTCATACCGGGACGTCTTATCACGGATAATTTCATCTCTGCTTATGAATGTCTCCACTACATGAAAACGAGGAAGGTAAAGAGTAACAGATTCTGTGCTTTGAAACTTGATATGATGAAAGCATAAAGAATTGAATGGAATTATCTTGAACAGGTGATGCTAAAACTAGGCATAAGTGCACGGTTTAAAAAAGGCACGCACCACACAGTGAGGTACATGGGCCTGGCCCATCTGGCCCAAACTTGCGGCATTTTTTAGTAGTAGCTCTGAAATGGGAGCGAGCGGAATCGAGTGGAATATTCTGGAACAGAGAAACCCTCCTCCATCTCCATCTCCATGGCCTGCCGCCGCCCCACCCCGCCGTCGCCGTCGCTGGCGCCGGCGCCGGTGCCTCCGCTCGAGGACGACGACCTCCTCGAGGAGATCCTCCTCCGCCTCCCCCCGCAGCCGTCCTCCCTCCTCCGCGCCTCCCTCGTCAGCAAGCGCTGGCGCGGCCTCGTCAAGCTCCGCCGCTTCCTCCGCCTCTTCCGCGCCCGCCACGGGAGCCTCCCCCTCCTCGCCGTCTTCCCCGGCGAGGTCGACATGAGCCACCCCTTCTTCACGCCCTCCCTCGACCCGCCCGACAGGGTGCCCACCGCGCGCTTCCCCATGCCGCTCGCCCCCCTCGCCTTCCCCCTCGTCCTCGACTGCCGCCACAGCCACGCCCTCGTCCTCAACCGGCGGGTCAGCCAGCTCCTGGTGTGGGATCCGGTGACCGTAGACAAGCACCCTGTTGACCTCCCCCCGGCCTTCAAGGGGCGACAGGTGATGCTCCACAACGGGTCAGTGCTCTGCGCCGGCGCCGCCGCCGCGGAAGGCCGCCTGCACGGCAGCTGCAATTCCAGCCCATTCAAGGTGGTGCTGCTGGCCTCTGGCAGAACACATGAGCGATCCTTCTCGGTCTGCGTCTACTCATCGCAGACAGGCGCATGGGGCGATGTGATTTCAGCAGAGTTTCAACCTGCCGCAATGGAGCCTCTGTATACTGCATCCGAGCTGTACATGTACGTCCCCAGTACCTTGGTTGGGAGCTCCATCTACTGGCTGCTTCGTGGCAATGGCGACACCATCGTCGAGTTCGATATGGATAGCCGGACCCTAGCTGTGATAGAGATGCCACTAGATCTGTATGACCATGGTATATCCAGCTCCTTCATGACTATGCCAGCGCAGGATGGTGGGCTTGGCTTGATCCTTGTGAATGACTTCTATGCCAAATTATGGAAGAGGGGGGCTGATTGCAATGGTGTCGCTATATGGGTGCCCGGAATAACTATTCAACTGGACAAGCTTCTTTCACTGAATGCTGAGCACAACAGAGGTCTACTATCTTTGTTGGGGTTCGCCGAGGACAGCAATGCGTTCGTGGTTGGGGCATCTAGGATCGGTATCTTCGTGGTCTATCTCAATCCTCTGAGGTTTAAGAAAATTTATGAAAGGAGGGATCTCTGTATCTTTCATCCATTTGAGAGTTTCTGTGTTGCAGGTAATGTCATGCACTCATGCCTTTACATACTTACTACTTTGCAGGCATAACTAAATACATTTGCTTCTTGATAATGGGACAATGGGATGCATGAATTAATGCCTTTTATATCCTTATTAGTGTTATTCTAGTGGTTCAATCATCCATTGAATCTTTGTTTCTTTCTTATATTCATATGTGTATATATTGTATTTGGTAATATTATGTGCATAGCTGCAGTATTGATTTCTTTGACTACTTTAGTAATTCTTTGAATGCATAGCTGTAATTTTAGTTATGTTACGGAGTTCATAGATATATGGTTGTTGAGAATTTTTGGCGTTCTATGAATCGATATCATAATTTGGAGTCCTTGGCGTAGGAGGGAAGCCAAGATAATCACTAGATCCATATTATATCGTAGTAGTTGCAATAAGTGTCCAGCCAACACTAGCTGCAATAAGTGTCCGTAGTAGTTGATTGCTAAAACACGTCAAGAATAGAAATATTCCAATAAAAATAATCCATTCTCGTGTTGTTCTATCTCTACTCTGTTTGAAATGTTGTCTCTGTCTAATGGTATGAAAAGACTCTATTTTCAAGTTGAACAATGGCAATGATTTCCACTTACCGTTTCTTGGAATGGCGTGCATTGAATGGATAATACAGTTTACTTTGGCTGATTAACTTATTTTTCCTGCAGGTATCTAGAGTTATGTTCCGGTAGCTGAGCTGTGGCGATGTCGTCTTACTATTGCAGGTTCTTCCATCTTCCATGCTGTGGGCTGTGGTCCGTGTAGAAATTGGTCCTCCATGTAGTCAGAATGAATTTGTATCCGCTTCCGATAACTGCTGCTGCCGTTATTTTAGTAATCTGTGTGGAACTAGTCAAATCGCCATTGCTTGCATTTGTGCTGTGTAGTATCTACTGTTGACTCTCATATTTGATTCGAACTAATGTTCTTGTCGGGCACATCTTGTTATCAGGTAGGGTATTTGGGAAGTCGCCATTTCCTTGCCCTTTCTCTCTTCTTTTTAATTGCCTCCCCTGCGACCATGGCCTTCTGCCGCCACCTCCCTTGCATAGCACTATATTTAGCCAATTTTTTGTGATATTGTGATGTTTACAAGAACGTTTTGTAAGATCTCTTATTTTGGTAATATTATTTGCTTGGCAATGACTACCATGGTGGCATTGTAAGCTAATGGGCAACAATTTTTTTTTCACAAATGCAGTTAGAGAAAGGTTCAGGAATCAGGAGTGGGTGAATTAGCACACTTATCCCAGCACTTTAGGTTACGATGTCCACTATTTGATGGAGCATGTAATTACCAGTGAATAGCATTGCTGGCTGGATTTAGTGAAGGGCATAACCTGAAGCATTTCTTGCACCTTGGCATTTCAGAAGTTGCATTCAGAAGATAACCTGGAAATTATGCTTGCCTTGCCAGGCCCTGTCCCAGGCAGCCCAAAGCCAAGATTGTTTAGTTGTTGAATGCTACTCCCTCCGTCCGGAATTACTTGTCATCAAAATGGAATTAGTTCAAGTATTTTCGGACGGAGGGAGTATGTAGAGGAGCAGTTCGGAAGATCTTTTGGGGGCAATGCTGGGAAATATCTTTCTCGCTGATCACTGCTAACAAAATTTACACTGCCAAGTCAATGTATAGAGCTATGGCTTAGAGGAGAGCTTCCAGCATGCATATGAAGATTTTGTGGAGGTCATGGGTTCAAGTCCTGGAAACAGCCTCTTACAGAAATGTAGGGAAAGGCTGCGTACTATAGACCCAAAGTGGTCGGACCCTTCCCTGGACCCTGCGCAAGCGGGAGCTACATGCACCAGGTTGCCCTTTTTTTTTTGTATTCCTGAAAAGTTAAAACAGGGTATTCAGGACAGGAGGTCCCTCCTTGCTAAGGGAGCAACTTCGAAAGAGAGAAGGTATAGGCAATGGGAGGGCTTTGCTCTGTTTTGGGCGATGTGGCGTACGTACTCGTAGCGACCTGAATTTTTGTTTTGTTTTGTTTTGAAGCCAAGCTTCTCTGCTAACTTGTTGACGTCAGCGAAAGAAGCCAGCAATACTGGATGCCATTTTTCTTCACTCGAGAGTGAAAGGGAGTTTGGTGTAGCTGCCCAAACGGCCCATAGGTACATATGTTGGTCTCGAGCATAAGTGACTTTATACTGCTACCCATAATATGTCCGAGTCTATTATGAACTAGGAGAGGAAAGAGCGATATGCCACGTCAGCAATAAACCTAAGAGGAGAAAAAATAAGGCCATAACCTCGTTGCTGTTGCAAAAACGTCCGAGAGGAAATTACTCCTTCCGCTGTTGGCTATTGATGCTACTGGTTGTTGCATGATCATTCACTTAATTTTCATGTCAATCTAGCTATTGGTTCAGAACAGAGACGGTTCAACTATCTGCAAGGACCTTGAACACTTTAGTCCACATAGAGGAGACACTACAAGTGACTGATGTCACTGGATCTATAAGTGAACATATGAGTTTGGTGTAGCTGCCCAAACGGCCCATAGGTACATATGTTGGTCTCGAGCATAAGTGACTTTATACTGCTACCCATAATATGTCCGAGTCTATTATGAACTAGGAGAGGAAAGAGCGATATGCCACGTCAGCAATAAACCTAAGAGGAGAAAAAATAAGGCCATAACCTCGTTGCTGTTGCAAAAACGTCCGAGAGGAAATTACTCCTTCCTCTGTTGGGGAGCTACTATTTGGCGCGTGAGGAGTTGGCGAACATGCCAGCGCGCACCCTCTCTCCTCCCGCGCGCCCCTATTGGGCCGGCCCATGAGCCGGGCTGGACGCCCCAGTTTTTTTATTTTTTCTTCTTTACAATTATTCCGAATTGAAAAAAAGTTCCTAATTTTTTAAAAAAGTGGATTTTCGATTTTTTCAATAAATCATAAGATGTTCCTTGTTTAAAAAATGTTCATGATTTAGAACAAAATGGCTGCGTATTTGAAAAAATGTTCGTGAATTCAAAAATATTCATGAATTTCACAAAAACCGTTCATTGATTCAAAAAATGTCCGTGGTTTCAAAAAATTGCGCGTTGATGTACGATATTTAAATTTGAGAACATTTTGAGAATCCGATGAACATTTTTTGAGTTTGATGAAAAAAAATTGTTTTTTTTGAAATTTTTTCAACTTATTTTAGAAGTTTCATGAACATGTTTAAAATATGACGAATTTTTTTAATTCAATGACCAAAAATTGATTTTAAGAAAATGTTCATCGATTTGATTTTTTTTCAATATTTTAGTAAAATACTCACAACTTTGGAAAAACCGAAAAATAATAATAAAAAAAGATAATAAAAAACAAAAATTAGAAGAGAAAGGAAAAGAAGAAGAAGAAGGAAAAAAAAGAAAAATCCGGGGAGTAAATATGGGCAGACCCACTTGCTCG